CCATATCAAGAATTTCCCGTTACTTAACCTGTCTTTGATGATCCTGAAAGTTCCCTTATGGAAAATAGATCTAGCAGTATGTCACGGTCACTAATTTTCCCTAGATAATATTAAAATATATAGGTTGCTATGTCTCCTGGCCCTGGATAATCAGTCGGAAAGAGTTTGTGTGAATGAAGTTTTCACACATTTGCTCTTTATGTCATTCTGTAAGCTCGAAATGAACAATACAGGGAGATTCATTTTGCTCATCTATCGTTTCTAAATTTTTGGTAATGAAAATCATTACTTGTGTAAAGAAAGTTATAAAAATACTAACACAATTAAATATAAAGATGCAGGGTACTTGAACCTCAAGAAAATAGGCGCGTACTATGATTAAAAGACTGCACATAATAATTAGTTATAATTAATAATGCTTTTTCTGTTTTTGTTTACATGAAATCTTTTAGAAAACAATGTTTTTTCAAAGATTGAATTTTTGGTAAACGTTTATGTTATAATTTGCTTAAGTTTTCCTTTTTCTCTGCCTCTCATTTCTAGAGTCACCAGAAGGAAAATATAAAACATTTTTTAAAGAGCACTTTCCCTGTAAATCATCAAGCACATACTCTTCATTTTTTCTAGTTTAAGGCATAAAGGGAAACCCAGCTCAGATAAGAATGATCCTTGCTGCATGCTCAGTGGCTCATGTATCTTTCTTTTAAAATTACTATTATTTTTTATTTTTAAATATTTATTTTTAATTTTTTTTTAGAGACAGGGTCTATGTTGCCCAGGCTGCAGTGCAGTGGCGCCACAGCCTTGAATTCCTTGGCTCCTGGGTCGTCCTCCTAATTCAGCTTCCTCAGTAGCCAAGACTACAGGCATAAGCCACCATGCCTGGAGAGTTTTTAAATTTTTTTGTGGATAATGGGGTCTTGCTTGGTTGCCCAGGTTGGTCTTGAATTCCTGGCCTCAAGTAATCTTCCTGCCTTGGCCTCCCAAAGTGTTGGGATTACAGGTGAGCCACTGTGCCTAGCCATCCTTTTTTTTTTTTAGTTCTAAGAGGCTCCAGCTCAAACATAAGTTAGCAGGTTAAAGGCCACTCCAAGTTCTAACAGAGCTAATCTTTATTGCTTGGTCTTCAAAAATAGAAGTTTGTAACTTTTTTTTTTTTTTTTTTTTTACAGAGCCTTGCTCTGTCACCCAGGCTGGACTGCAGTGGTACAGTCTTGGCTGACTGCAGCCTTCGCCTCCCAGGTTCAAGTGGTTTTGCTCAGTAGCTGGGATTACAAGTGAGTGCCACCATGCCTGGCTAGTTTTTGTACTTTTAGTGGAGACAGGGTTTCACGGTGTTGGCCAGGCTGGTCTCAAACTCCTAGCATTAAGTGATCCACCCTCTTCGGCCTCCCAAAGTGCTGGGATTACAGGCATGAGACACTGTACTTGGCCTTGTAACTCCTATTTGAACATACCTTCAAAGTGAAGGTCTTTGACCATGAGCATTTCTTTGACATCATCTAGTGTCCGCTGGTGACCCATTAGCTCCAAAACTTCCTACTTTGTCTTGGTAGCTTTGCTGGTGTCTGTGGACATGGCGATGGCTGCTCTGGTCATCCGTTCAGGCCTCATTGTTTATTGGTCAGTTTCCATTATCTTGAGGCAGAATCACAGTAAATTCTCTGAAGCCCAAATACATTGAGGAAATACCAGGATGCAGAGCTCATTCAGGGTGCATCTAATATGAGAAGTTTGGTAACTTGCTGCAGCATAGGCTTAAAACTAGAGGGTCAGCCGGGTGCAGCGGGTCACACTTGTAATCCCAGCACTTTGGAAGGCTGAGCCAGGAGGATCACCCGAAGTCAGGTGTTCGAGACCAGCCTGGCCAACGTGGTGAAATCCCATCTCTACTAAAAGCACAAAAATTAGCCAGATGTGGTGGCGGGCGCCTGTAATCCCAACTACTTGGGAGCCTGAGGCAGGAGAATCTTTTGAACCTGGGAGGTGGAGGTTGAGTTGAGCCAGGATAGCGCCATTGCACTCCAGCCTGGGTGACACAGCAAGACTGTCTCATAAACAAACAGAAACAAAAAACCAGAGGGTCCCTGGAAATAGGACCTTGGTTGCAACAATGCCTGAGTATGTTATGTTGATCCATCTACCCGTAAGAGTCACAGGAATGTTTATTTCCTTTCATCATGTCTGAGAGCATAGTGGGAGAAAGTGGTGATATTTTTATCCTCTGGGTTGTTGATGTAATATTTTTATGTTAAGAAAAGACTTTTTGGGAGTGTAATTTCCATTTTCCCTAAAGACTCTGCTTAAAATTAGGACATAACTGTCATATACACTTGCTCCTGTGAGCTTCTTGTTGCTCTGTAGCAGGATGAACATGTAGTGGCAGATCATGTCTGAGAAGAAGCAGATGATAAATATGGGCAGGACCCTCCAGAGGCTGATGCTGGAGTTGAATAGTAGCTCCTACCCTCTCGTCAGAGAGCTGGTTTGGCTTCCTCTTCTGGGGTGCTAGGGCTCTTCTTTGGGTTCTCCTCGAGGCCTTCTCATGTCCCTCAGCCTGGGCATTATCTTGGCCTAGGACTGGCTAGGACCCTGCTACAGCCTTAGGCTTAGTGGACTGCTTCCAGCCCCTCCAGCTGCAGTGTCAGTGGCCTGCTGCAGCCCTGCATCCATTTAATTTTTCACTAATGATATCTGAAGACTACAGAGTTCTAAACAGAAACTAAGAGCTCCCTGATGTCTTTTTGCTTGTTGTAAGCCATCTCTATTAAGATTATATTTTAGAATGAAAGTTGTTAAATCAAAGGATTTTGTTTGATCACTCTGACGTCCACTTGCTTCAGTGGAAAAAAAAAAAAACAGGCTATAAAACATTAGATGCATAGGCATTCACTTTGTGAAACACAAAAAACTTTTATTTGCCACTGCCTACCACACAAAATAGTAAAGATTCAATAAAAAATTGTAGACTAATGGCTGAAATGATTGAAAGAATACATAGGAAAAAGGAAATTTTACACACCAAATTGTTAACTCTACTTATTTCTGTTCCAGAGACTGTAGTTGATTATTCTTTTTTGTAAATTTACCACAGTGAATACATAATTTTTACTTAATGTCTTTAAAAAGTGTTGTGCTTTCTCTTGTTTATAAGTGGTGAAAGATTGACGAAAGTGAAAGTATTGTAGAAAGAACTGTGTAGCGAGTCATAAATTCAGTCATTCCCTGAAACGTCCTAAGCTTCTAAGGAGTTTTGTTGTCCTTTTACTCTGAAAGGCAACACAATAGTTGGGATGTGTCAAAAGGAAAAAAATATCTTCCATAGTTTAGGTACATAGAACAAATTGGGACATAATTCCAGAACTGATGACTTAGTTCCACAACAAAGAACACATCTGAGAGTCTTCAGATATAATAAAAAATGAATAGTGGCTGTCTTACTCTTGCTTTAAAATAGCATGCTTAAATACTGGGATGTGAGACCCATTCACTGGGTGGAGACCTTTTCGGAGAGAAAAATAGAAGTTATCCTTATCCTCAGGGAGCTCATAGGCAAATGACTATCACTGGGTAGTAACACTTAAGAGTTTTTATACTTCAGTTGAATTAATATTTATTTAAAATAGGAATGATAATTTATTCCTGCTGAAATTGTTACAAAAAGTAAAAAGCATTACTTAATATTTCATTAATACAAATTTAGATAATATAAATTCTAAGTTTGCTAATTGTAAGTAAATGTTTTTTGAGTATTTAAGTCAAGGACTGTACTAAATATAATTTTACAAAATGATTTATTTTCTGAGTAAGCAATGCTTTACTTGGCAAAACAATTTCAAAAGAGTATATGGTAAAGTCTTCCTTCTACCCTGCCTCCCAGCCACCAGGTTCTTTCACCATTTCCAGAGATATTTTATGCATGTGTAAGCATATATGTATCTTCATTTAAAAATCATAGATGGTATTATATAATGCCTACTATACCTTGCTTTTCTGGAATACAAAGTGTTTTATATGCTTATCTCCTTTAACATGTACAATAGTTGTCACCACAGGTACTCTTATTAATATTCCCATTTTACAAGTAAGGAAATGAAGACATTTCAATTTCTTAATAACTTGTACAGGGTCACATAGCTAATAGTTACAGAATCTACTTCCTGAGGCACTACTTATTTATTTGGTTAACTTATCATTTATTTTGAGTCAGAGTCTTGCTCTTTTGCCCAGGCTGGCGTGCAGTGGTGTGATCTTGGCTCACTGCAACCTCCCCTTCCCAGGTTGAAGTGATTCTCCTGCCTCAGCCTCCTGAGTAGCTGGGACTACAGGTGTGCACCACCACACCCAGCACTTTTTGTATTTTTAGTACAGGCAGAGTTTCACTGAGTTGGCCAGGCTGATTTCAAACCCCTGACCTCAAGTGATCTGCCTGCCTCAGCCTCCTGAAGTGCTAGGATTATAGACATGAGCCACCACGCCTGGCTGAGTTACCTTTTTAATTTGAAACAATTTCATACTTACAGAAAAGTTGTAAGAATAGAATAAAGAATTACATATACCCTTTGCCTGGATTCCTCAGTCAGGTTTCTGCAGCTATCTCAATAATATTAGCAAAGGAACCAACCTAGGATCACACATTGTTTCCAGTTGCCATGTCTCTCTAGCCTCCTTCAATATGAAACAGCTTCTTCACTCTTTATCTGATTTTCATGACCATGGTATTTTTGGAGATCACAGGCCAGACCTGTCCAGAGAGATTTTGTAGAATATTTCTAAATTTGTGGTTGTCCATATTTCCTCACAGTTACCCCCATATTAGGCATTTTTGACCACAGTACCCCAGAAGTTATGCTATGTTCTTCCCATTGCATCCTATCAGGCAGCACCTAATGTTAATTTGTTCCATTATTTCTATTAAAGGAAAAAAGGGGTATGGGAAAGTAACTTGTTGGTTTGCTTTTCAGAGAACCCTTGATTCAGTAAGTATCTTTTCCTTGTAGCACCCTGGAGGAGAAGAGGTTCTGCTGGAACAAGCTGGTGTAGATGCAAGTGAGAGCTTTGAAGATGTAGGACACTCCTCTGATGCCAGAGAAATGCTAAAGCAGTACTATATTGGTGATATCCATCCGGTAAGAAATATCACAGCTAGGAGCCTTTATGTAGAGAAAACTACTGAACAGCTGTGGAACAGGATGAAGAAATGAATTATTGGCAGTGTGTGGTAGCTCACACCTGTAATCCCAGCACTTTGGGAGGCTGAGGCAGGCAGATCACTTGAGGTCAGGAGTTCGAGCCCAGCCTGGCCAACCTGGTGAAACCCCACCTCTACTAAAAAAATGTAAGAATTAGCCGGGTGTAGTACACATTGTAATTCCAGCTATTTGGAGGCTGAGGCACGAGAATTGCTTGAACCTAGGAGGTGGAGGTTGAGGTGAGCAAAGATCGTACCACTGCACTCCAGCTTGGGTGACAGAACAAGACTCATTTCAAAAAAAATGAATTATTAAAATGAAAATTCATTCAACCTAGCCATCAGGGTAAATTTTCTCCAAAATTGTCTAGTCTTAACTGTGCTAGGATATAGCTTCTTTGCCAGGTAGCACATGTAATATCTCTAAAAAGCTAAGGGAACTGATTTTGGATTATTTTATGTGTTGATTCATTTTTGTAATGCAGGTAATAACACCTCTACCTAAAATAGTGGTTTGCTTTTGCAAGCTCCTTGCTAAAGGTAGTAATTATGGACTTTAAAACTATCCATATATGCCTTTCTAACAAGGGACCCTGATATGCTCAGAGTAGGGGTCAGTATCTTTCTATAGATCCTTAAGTCTCCCAGGGAAATTCACTATCACCAGAATATAGTCTCATGTTCCAAAGTTAGAAGCAAGCATATAGTAAGAGTTCGTTTGGATATGTCTTAAATATTTGTTTTTCTTTTTTTAACAGAATGATCTTAAACCTGAAAATGGTAGCAAGGTAAGAAGTCATTGGTTTGTCTTTTTATATTTCTGTTTATTCAAGTAGAACTGCTTTTTGAAATATTTTTCTTAACAAGCGTTACGAAAAAGTAAAAGTATTTACTTTTTCCCCAAGCAAAAATCCTATTTTTTAGGAATTTGGACTCAGTATCATTTCAGGAAAAAAAGAATAGCTGAGTCTTGAACAGTGGGAAACATTTTGCTAATGCCTCTATATGCTTTTTTTAAAAAAATTGAAACTCCAAAACTATGCTCTGTATGATTTTGAAAGAAATTAGTTTATGGGTTCAGTTGTAGCAAAATATCTTACTTTTACATTATATACAACGTGATAATAATTGTTTCTGTGTTGGAAAAAAATAATTGCAAAGGTTTCTCATAGGTTATCTTTATCTGTAATACAGAGGCCTTTCTGTCCTTATTTTCCAAATTTAATTCTTTTATCCTGTAGGATCAAATAGGCCCATACCCTTCCCGGTTACTTAGTAATACAGTGAAAACAAAAGACTAAGTATTTGAGTGTTTGAAAACTTTAATGTGTACTGCACTGCATACGAGGAAGAAAATATGGAACCATTTTCTACCTCCCACATGCTAGGTGGTTCATCTCACTTATTTCCTAACAAGTTTCCTTAACTTCTGTCCTTCAGATAGCTGTTACACAGATAGCTGTTAAACTGTTGTAAAGGGACAACAGTTTAGGTGCTACTTAGAACATATGAAAGTGATGTTGCCTCCCTCCCCTCTTCCTCCTCCTTGCTGCTTGCTTCCATTCCTCGCTGAGCTGGAATTACTGAATAGGTTTGACACAGCAATTAAAGTTGGCCTAGACACAAGAATTCTATTAACTCAAGAGATTGCTTGCTTAACAGTGTCTGCCATCTGTTGCCCTGCAATCCAGAGTGTTTGTGTAAATTAACTCTTCCATCTTGCTAGACTACTACTCTGAGCTATTGAATTGTTTCTGAAAGGGGAAATGAAATGGTTCTTTAAATTTGTGACAACTGTTGGTTGTTTGTCCTCTTCTCCTAACACATGTACTATCCATTCTTGAATCCTTAAAAAAAAAAATAGTTTAGAACCGTATTTTGTAAAAAAAAGTTCCCTCCTGTCTCCAGCTCTCAGTCTCTTAGTTCCTCTTCCCTGGAGGTAACCAGCCACCATTTTTTGTTGTTGTTTACTCTTAATAACTTGTGTTATTAAGGTAAAATTTGAACTAAGCATGGCCTTGATTAGCATATTGAACACGTCCAGAAAATACCACTCCCAGAGGTCAACATCTGATTCAAGGAATAAGGAGCCATAACTGATTTCTGCACAGCAACTAGGAGAGCATCTTTGATATTAAAACAATAGAAAAAATATTTTTGCAATTACAGTGTCTAGAACTCTACAAATTGCTTCTTGTTGCTGTTACTCTTTCCTGGTGGTATAGTTAGGACCATTCTTAGGAATGTAGAACAGTATTCCCAAAGTTCTGTTCTTGTGTCACCTCAATTGGAATCAATTGGCATGTACATTAAAATGTATATGAAATGTTTATTTCTTGGGCTTCAACTCCTGCTGATTTGGAATCTCTGGAGATAGGGTTTCAGAATTTGCAATTTAAGTAATCTAGGTGATAAATAGGTAGCTAAGCCCAAACTTTTTGCTGAATGATATGACCATATTTTCATTTGAAAACTTAGGAAAATTTAATTCTCTTCTGTGGTAAGCATTGTCTGCCTTCTATAAGCCAAAGAATTAGAGATTTCTTAGCTGAATTAAAACTATTGAGCCATCCAGGTACAGTGGCTCGTGCCTGTTATCCCTACACTTGGGAGGCTGAGGTGGGAGGATCACTTGAGCCCAGCAGTTGGAGACTGCCTGGCCAACATGGTGAGACTCTGTCCCTGTCTCTATTTTTTACAAATCATAAAATTAGCTGGGCATGGTAGTATGTGCCTGTAGTCCCAACTACTGGGGAGGCTAAGGCTGGAGGATAGCTTGAGCCCAGGAATTTGAGGCTGCAGTGAGCTGTGGTCACACCATTGCACTTCTGTCTAGGTAACACAACATAACCCCATCTCAAAAAAAACAAAAACAAAAACAAACCAAAAAAACTATTAAGCCTTAGATTTTTGGTAAGAAATATAGAATAAGAAAGCACTTAAGCTCACCAAGTTCTATAATAATTTGGAAGTCTCCAAATGTAGTTTAGCTCCTATCTGGGTTAAAAAGTGACTAAAGGCAGTGTGTTTTCAATCCTGTTTTCCTCATGTTGCTGTACTCAAGGGATATGTCTTCATTAAGTAGAGAGTCTGCCTATTGTGTTTCTAGTCACTGTGCTCTACTTCAGGCAGATCAGGCAAGAAAAGCCTTTTGGAACATTTTCAAGACCACCTACATAGGTTTTATATTCCAACCTGACTTCAGTTCCAGGAAGAAATTCTTGCTCTCTCAGATTTATTTCTTACAGAGGTTTAAATAGGCACTTGGTGTCTAGGATGTAGGTGTCCCTTTTCTTCATATTTTGTCTCTGGTTTAAACATTCATCATTCAGAAATGGAAGTGGAGTTTATTTCATTGATTACCTTCCTTTCTCTTGGCCCAAGGTTTCTCAATCTTTATGAAGAAGTGATTTTTTTTAAGTCTAATTAAAAGATATCTTCAGCCTGTGGGAGAGAGTTTTCATTTCCATTTTTCTCTTCTCCTTTCCTCTATTTCTCCATGTCTCTTCTCCCACCTACACAGCCCCATATCTATTCCCTGTCTGAACCATACCCCACTGCCCCCCAAAAAAGAAACACTCAAAATGTTGCTATTCCAGAGTATAAGTCAGTAACCATTCCTAATTCTTTTAGAAAACACCTTTCATATTACTTTTATAACACAGGTAAATAATTAATGGTCACCATTGTTTTATTGTTAGATGGATAGTACCTGAGTTGAAGGCCCAGAATTATTATACTAAAACTTAAAGGCTTAAAAACTTAAAGATCTAGCAACAGATGTTTTTCTTACCTGCTTCAATCAAAAATAACTAATTAGAATTAAAAACCATTTGTCTTTGTGAATCTCTTTCTTGCTGGGTTAACCCTCATGCTGAAAGCTATCTGTCTTCTACTTACATTTGACTTAACATTTTTCTGGTCTGTTTTTGGTTATGGAAATTGACCTTAGAAACATACTTAGTGCTCTCTGTGCCAGTTTGCCTACTTGTTTGCCTGCTCTTTAGCAAATAACCTGTAAACATTCATGTCCATGAATTCTCTCTTTTGATGATGTATTTTGGTTTTATCACCTAATCTGCCATCAGTTCAAGAGATAAAGTACATACAAATCCTAACCTGACTAAAAAAGTGGGCACCATTTCATTCATTTATTCAACAGATATTATCTAGGTAATAGTTCAACTGCTTTACTAGTCAAATCTTGTAGTCAAATAGATCCAGTAACTTGACCAATTCTCCATTAAATTTTTTTTGAATGTGTAGTATAAAATGTACATGGTTAAAAAAAAAATTTAAATAGTTCAAAACAGCATACTATAAAAAAAGTTCCCTCCTATCTTTAGCTCTCAGACTCTTCCCCTTCCCTGGAAGTAACCAGCCATCATTTTTTATTGTTTACTCCTCCAAAGATTCCATGCATTCGGATGGATGGATGGATGGACAGACCAACCAACCATCATTTCCTTTAAAAAAGTAGAAAACTTCATATATACTACTCTTCACCTTGCTTCTCTTTACTTAAAAATTTTATTTGTTGACCGGTGGTGTGGCTCGCATCTGTAATTCCAGTACTTTCGGAGGCTGAGGCAGACAGATCACATGAAGCCAGGAGTTCAAGACCAGCCTGGCCAATATGATGAAACCCTGTTTCTACTAAAAATACAAAAATTAGCTGGGCCTGGTGGTATCCCAGCTGTTTGGGAGGCTGAGACAGGAAAATGGCTGAGGTTGAACCTGGGAAGCAGAGGTTGCAGTGAGCTGAGATTGTGCCACTGCACTATAGCTTGGGTGACAGAACGAGACCCTGTCTTTAAAAAAAAAATTTTTTTTAATTCGTTATTTCTTGTCAGTTTATGAGAGGGCATGGTGGCTCGTGCCTGTAATACCAGCACTTTGGGAGGCCAAGGTAGGTGAAACATGAGGTCAAGAGATCGAGACCATCCTGGCCAACATGGTGAAACCCCGTCTCTACTAAAATTACAAAAATTAATTGGGCATTGTGGCAAGTGCCTGTAGTCTCAGCTACTTGGGAGGTTGAGGCAGGAGGATTGCTTGAATCGGGAGGCGGAGGTTGCAGTGAGCTGAGATCGTGCCACTGTACTCCAGCCTGGCAACAGAATGAGACTCCATCTCAAAAAAAAAACTCTTTCTCATTCTTTTAAGTAGATATTTAGTATTCCATAGATGAAAGTGTTGATGGGATGACATTTGCTTTCAAAGGATTTGATCTGCTTTTTGAAACAAATAAAATTGTCTCCATAGAGGCTTAACGTGTTTTTTAAACTTCATTTTTAACTTAAGAAGTTTAACTTTCGAAATCTAGTAAATTTTACGTGTTAGAAGCAGTCTATTAATTGCATTTAAAGTTACATTTTTTTCTCCCAGATGCTACTGAATTTTATTATACATACAGTTTTCTGTTACATAATATATTATGTAACATACAGTTTATGTCTTTTATGGGAAACTAAAAATATATTGTTTATAATTATGAAATATAGTTAGTTGATTAAATTAAAAATTTTACTTTTAGGTCAGACGCGGTGGCTTACACCTGTAATCCCAGCACTTTGGAGGCTGAATTGGGTGGATCCAACGTGAGGAGTTTGAGACCAGCCTGACCAACATAGTGAAACCCCCGTCTCTACTAAAAATATAAAAAAATGAGCTAGGTGTGGTGGCAGGCGCCTGTAATCCCAGCTATTTGGGAGGCTGAGGCAGGAGAATCGCTTGAACCCAGGAGATGGAGGTTGCAGTGAGCCACTGCACTCCAGCTGGGGTGACA